GCCGGCGACTGTCAGCGGTGGTCAACGAAGGACGACGGTTGGCGTTAGTCGACGGAGATCAGCAGCGGTCAATGACGGTCAACGATGGTCGACGACTGTTGATGGTAGTCGACGACGGTTGGCGATGGTAAACTTGTGTTGGCAGTGGTCGACGACAGTCAGCGCCGGTCGACAACGGTCGGCAGTGATGCTGTGTTGCAGCTCCTCTTCAAGGCCTCAGACTCTCTCTAGACTTCAGCTCCCTCTCATGAGAGGAGTGAGACTCTATTTATAGTGTTCTGAGTGTAATTAATGCAAAAATATAAATTATTTTAATCTAACAGTCCAGATAGTTTTCTTCAATCAGACAGTGTTTAATGAACATTTTGATGTCTTAATGATGTCGAAATTGAGTAATTTTGGGCTCGTTGGATTTGTCTTGTCGAGACGCTTGATTCGATTATGAACTTGTCAGATTCGACATCCGTTTGACATTCCAAATATGTCCGAGAATCTTTCAAAAGTGGTGAAACGACTTGATTTAGACTTGCTTTGACTCGAATTGGACTAACTTTGATGTCATTAGGTTCCTCTCATCGAGTCAGTCAGTTTGACTATAATCAGTCAGTTTGACTATAAGTGACTATAAGTTTGCTGAAATTCGAGTTTTGGATAACTTTTTATCAATATTTGAACATTCATTGCTCAAAATATTATCTCGAGGTCTGTGTCATGTTTCGAGATTTGTGTCGGATAATGAAAATTTGTTGGTGGCGTATTAGTTGTCCCCTTAATTTCGGACGAGTCTAATTTCATCATCTGAAAGTATTGATATCTATAGCGTTTTCATTGTTGTGAGACATACATTTAAATATATTTATTATAGCTTATTATCTTTTGATTTTAAATAAGGATAATATAAATCTATATACAGTGAAGAAATTCAGAGCTGCTTATTTGGTTGGTCATTGCTGCTTCAAGCCAACTGTCTCATGTTCGAAACCAGCTAAGGCAGAGGAGTTTTTTTATGGGAATATGAAAAGTCTTTCTTTTTTTATGGGAATATGAAAAGTCTTTTTCTTTTTTTAATGAGCATTTAATGCTTGTACTTCTTTTTAAATTTATATAATAATGAGCATTTAATGATCAGCCCTTTTTGAGCCTATAAATCGGCCTAAAGGAGAGAATAGAGAAAGAGATGGGTAGAGCCGTGGCGACTTGTTGCTGGCGGGGCGTCACGGTGGGACTTTGTGAAAACTCGTTGCGGTGGTGCGTCTTGGCGATGCATCGCGGCGACGCGTTGCGGCGAATTGTCGCGGCGGGGCATTGCGGCGACACTAAGACAGTGTTTCGGGGCGATGCGTTGCGGTGAGACGTGGCAGCAGAGCGTGGTGGTGGGACGTTGCGACGGTACGGCGTGGCAACACATTGCGGCAGAGCGTCGCTGCGAGTCGTTGTTGCGAGGCGTCACTGCGGGGCGTTGCGGCAATGTGTTAAGTTCAAGACTATCATCCGAGACCATGTCCATGAAGTTCGTGATCGTGTACTCGATGTCGTTAAAGGAGTGGTAAAAATGGTTCACCAAAGAAGGATTCATCCAATTTTATTTTATGGGGAGTGAAGCGGCACAACGTCGAACCGGAGTTGTCGTAGAGGGGCTCACTCTTAGTCAAAGCTTCAAAGAATCTTTCCTCGGATTCTGACGGTGATTACATTGAAAGTGAATTAAAGAAGGTGCATTTCTACGACGAAGAGGAGGCGGAGGAGAATGTTGACATCGATTAGTGCTCTACACTTTTTTTTATGTTTGTGTTTGTTTGCTTTTGTATGTTGTTCGAACCTCGCAATGGTTGCTATGATGTTGTATGAGTGATGCATGTTGATCATCTTGTTTAATTATTTGATTTTATTAGCTATTTGCCCTTCCGAGTATCTTCTTTGTGAATGTTGAAACTTTTTTTTTAATGTCGCAGTGAATGTCCAATGTCATTTAGAACTCTAGTATGTAAGAAGGTTACTGGATAAATTGTCAGCGGTCTTTTACATGACTGAGGTTATGCATCAGAGTATTACTCAATGATGTTGAACTGTATGGAAGGAGCCAACGGAAGTCCACCATAGACTTGTTAATGCATTCGAGGTTGTTTGTTGGAGTATTGCTCGCTGATGAACCTGTGTGGAAGGGATCAGGTGTAGCCCACCAAGAATTGTTAATATATTCAGAGTTGTTTATCGAAGTAAAAACTCGACGATGTTAACCATATGGAAGATGTTAGATCAAATCCCCCTGGGATCGATCGTGTTTTGACAAAGATGCTACCGAAGTTGTGTATTTCTTGGGTCAAGAGCATAAAGTGCATTTGTGAATGAATTATTACACTTTCAAAAGATTTTTTTTTTGTAGAAGAAAGCAAGTGAATAATATTTAATAAGTCTGAGATACATTGATATTGTATGCAAGATGACACTAACAAACATAGATTATATGATCGTAGTGTTACTGGTAGTATTTCCAAAGATTCCCGACATTCCAAGTTCTGGGTAGGATTTTTTCATCTGAATCTTTGAACTTAAAAGTTTCAGATTTAAATCATGACAACCACGATATATGGGTCTTCCCAGAGGGGATAATTTGTTACGTTAGGGGTGACGACCAGCGGCTTCGATACTAAGCAAGATCAGGTCACCGATGGAGATAGGTCGAGACTTCACTCTTCGGTTGAAATAGCGAGCAATTCTTTGGCGGTGGGAAGCAATTCTAAGGTGGGTCACATCACGTATTTCTGGGAGGAGATCCAAATGTTGTCGAAGTTTTTCATTGTTGTTATCCGAGTTGAAAGACTTAACTCGTGTCGATATCAACTGGAATGACAAGCATTAGTTATATGGAGTTTCCCTGATTGGAGTTCGTGCGGTGGTGCAATAGGCTCAGCGGACGTTGTGCAGCTCTTCAGCCAACTGCTCCCAACCTTCTAAAGATGTGTCTTCAACCCCTTGAGTATCGTCCGATTTGTCATCTTCGTTGTCCATTTGTTTAGGGATGCGCCACGGTAGTGTGTACCAACTAAATGTGAACATCTTTGCAGAATGATATGAAAACTTTTCTAGTGAATTGAGCCTCATTATCAGTGATAATCTTCGCGGGAAGCCTGAAGCGACAGATGATGTTTTTTCCAGAAAAACTAATTTTCATATGCTTAAGTGGTCTTGGAAAGCGGCTCCACTTCTTCCCATTTGGTGAAGTAGTCGACAACTAAGATGATCAATTTTCGTTATCTAGTGGCTATCGGAAACGATCCCATGATATCTACCCACCATTGAGTGAAAGACCAATGACTCGAAAAAGACGTGAGTTCTACTGGCGGTGAATGCGTAAGATTGAAGTGTAGTCGACAACTTTTGCATTTTTACATAAACTCTAACGCGTCTTGCTTGACATGGGTGAGTAGAAATTGTCTCATTATTTTAAGAGCAAGAGCTCTGCCCCTGAAATGCTGCTGACATATCCCGGAATAAATCTCTTGTAAAGCTTAATTAGTTTCAGAGGGAGGAATACACTTGAGGTATAGACCTACAAATGCATTTTTATACAGCTCATCCCTAATAAGGATGAAGTTGGCAGTTATGCATCGGAAGTGAATTGATCTATTAGCATCATCTAGCAGTGTTCCACGGGCCCTGGTTGTTGGGAAAATGTATCTTCTCAATGCACCTTTTATAAAGATCTCTAGTTGTTGAAGTTGCGATCTTGGAGAGGACATAAGCTCCGGTGTCATGCTCTCAAAGTATGTGAATGAGCTGCCATATTTGAAGTAGTTTTTTACCAAATTGAGATATTGCACCAGTTGTGAGTTATGAGCGTCGAATTCTCCTTATACTTGGGATGCGATGAGTTGAGAATCAGTGTAGATAATCATGTTTCGTATTTCATAGTCGATAACAAGTTTTAATTCGGGGACAAGTGCTTCATATTCGACAACATTATTGGTGGTTGAAAATTTCAAACGAAGTCCATACTACAAGATGTTTTGATTTGGAGAGATGAGTAGTATTACTGCACCAG